AATAGAAGCCACCTCTCTATTGAAAAGTTAGGATTTTTATCTAGAGTTATGGTGTGTTGATTAGTTGAATCAAAACTGTCTTTTGTCATGCATTTAAGGTGAAAATATATCCTAATGTATCTTGAAAATATATCCTTATATCCTACTTACATTGCTTAAGCTGTGCTCTGAATAGGAACATATTTCATCCTGGTGTACTTAAAATCATAGAAATCATAGAAAATTGGGTTGGAAGGGACCTCAGGAGGTCATCTAGTCCACCCCCCTGCTCAAAGCAGGACCATCCCTAACTACTTGTGTGGCCATATATTTGGTCCCCACCAAAACCCAGGACTTGTGTAACGTGGTGTTCAGAATAAGGTATCAGAAATCTTGGTAAGAACTGCTATGCAACTACCCTTCATTGTAGCCCCAGTACAGTGATTCTTTAAGTATGAAGTTGGCAGCACCGATTTTGAAACGGTAAAAATCAATCCCTTCTAAATACTGTTTTAATTCTTCTTTTATTCCATGGAATCTCCTACAAACCTGATGCAGTTTTATATTAGAAATGATTACATTAAATAGGAGCATCTTCATTTCCTAGGGATCCCAGGCTAATGGGCAGGACAAGAAGAGAGCAATGCAATGGAAGTTCTACAGCAATATCCAACATTCCTGAACTATGAAACATAAATATCACCACAAACTCTGAGAGATACTAGTGGTATTTATCCATATTTCTCATACACCTTATTGTGTCAGGTCTCAACTTTTTGAGAATCCTGGCTTGGAATAACAAAGGAGGACTAGAGCTCTTAGTTCATACAAATTATCCTGGGTAGATCCATTAATTAAGAACTTGTAATGTCTTTAGTACAATGCAGTTGGTGTAACTTTTAAAGCACTGATTCAAAATGGAAACAAAGTAAAATGTAGCATGAGTTTGCAAAACAGTCGCCTATGGTCTTTCTTGTTTTTGAGCCCTCTGCTTTGCATGGTTTTTATTCCTGAAAAAACAGAAGTGATATTGTGACTTCATCCTTTAAAAATCTTTTTTTTATGTTTTTCCTCTTCCATTTCATACGTCTCTTCTCTTCATGTCCTTATTTTTAAACCTACCTAACCTTATTAGTCATTTGCCACTTCATTTGTTTACCCAGGCACTTTGAAGCTGAAGGGAGAATGGGCCACCCATCACTTTGAGAAGTTACAATTTCCAAGTCACAGATCAAGAATTTAGAACTGACACCCTGTACCATTGATGCCATGTTCACTTCCTTGTCTATCCCATTGAAACAAGTGGCCATTTTGCCATTGACGCCAATGGGGGGAAAGCCAGTGTCTGGAAGACTAGATATTGTGAGGTGAATTCGTTATTTGTTGAGGTTAGTGCTCAGCAATTTGTAGGGTCAGGCCTTCTAAGGGCAGAGACTCATCTTTTTAAAGGGCACTAAAAGGAGTTACAATTACAGGGACCTATAAATATGATGATGATATTCTTTTATTACTTAATCCACTTTAATATCCTCTGGAAACAGTGGTCCATGGCAGGAAATATTATAACATGTGAAGATAAGTGGCTTAGGTAAAACACCAAGAAGGAGAGAGACCAATTTGGAATTTATTGCGTCCTAACTGAAACATTCAAATCTTTGTTTTTCCTTTCCTTTCCTTCCCTTTCCGTAAACTACTCCCCCCCCACCCCAACACACACACACATTGCACTTTGTTCTTGGCTTTTTTTTTCAGAGCTAGGCTTAAGTTGTAAGATAACAGTGCAAAAATGTACACTAACTGCTGTGCTAGTATGAGGAAATTACATGCAGGATTGATTTGCCCCTTCAGAAAGAAAGTAAGGCCCTAATTTAATTCTCACCAATGAGGCTCCCTTAGGAAATGATCTCATAGTTCTGAGTGGACTCCTAGACAATTTAGAGCCTTTCTAATAGTTCCCAGATGCACATATTCATAGTATGCTGGGCCAGGAGGAAATTCATTACATTCCCAGATTCTTGTCTGGTTTGAAATGTGGAGTTCACTGTTAATCTCATTTTAAAAGCCTTAATCTGGATTCAGAATAAGCAGAATTTGGGAATTCTCTTCCTCTGTGCACCAGCAGATGCAGTCATTTTCAAGTGAATTTAGCTTGGTTGTGCAGTCCTTACACAGCACTAGATGGGATTGCTAAATGCTGAGTGAAGTCTCTATGATATGACCTCATATTTGAAAGTATACAGCTATTTTGCACTTGTACCATGCTGAAAACATTAACTGGGCCTCCCCAAACCTCTAAGGGATAGGGAAGTAATACACAATGTTTGTGGTGCATCTAGCATTCTTCCAGCATCGTGCAGCCATGAAGACTGACCATAAACCTATACTAAGGATGGACATAGACAGGTAAGCAGAAACCTTACATCATCTCTCTTGGATGTACAGACATGTGGGTGCCACCACTTGCTAACTGCTTTTGAAGTTTAGTCTGGGATCACAGCCAGACAATGGAGGGAAGTCCACTGTAGCTCAAGAGCCAGCCCACAGCAGTAGCCAAATATACATTGCAACCCATGATGTGCCTTGCTTCTGGAGCAATTCAGTAGCCTCAGCCTCCACTTTCACTGGGTTGGATACCTGTGTGCTGATTGGGCATACATTTTGGCTAGGTGCTATGTTCTTGGCCACAGAAAATCTGTGACTGGTCAGCCTAAAACTGTGCTACTGGCACTACACTGTCCACCCTACCACGGCAAGCCTTCTAGGAGAGCCCCTGTGGGTCCTGTCTGGCCACAGCAGGAAAATAAACCCAACCTGTCATCATGCTAACTTCTTTGTGGAGGAGAAAGTGGAGATATCTGCCTTCATGCATAACTTATGCAGAGGATTTCACCAGTGCCTGTAGACTTGAACACAGCATAGACAGATGTGCTGCAGAAAGACCTAATCGAGCACAAGAATGTGGGGATTGGCCAATGGGCCGGTCATGGAAAAGTTTGTGCAGCATGAGAGAAGGAGCTACCAGCTGGTGGTGGGCCCTGTACTTGATGGGTTGTACTTTGCACCTTCAGTAAAGGGTGTGAGGCTTATGACTACAACAGAGTCCAGTGTGTATATGACCAAATTCCTTATGTCCAGGATGACTGCTATGCTCACAGGGAATGAGCACAATCTGCTGGGTTGCTGACATTACGCATGACTTTAGTTTTAACCCTCTTTGAGCACATACTTCACATCTCTCAAGGTAGCAAGTCAGACACTGACTGTCTCTCTCTCTCTCTCTCTTTTTTTTCTTCCTCTCACAAACACTGGCAGTGTGTTTCTCTCCCTCTGACTTCCTTCACTTCCCCAGGAAAGCAAATCTAGTACATACAATGATGTACCCTGCCCTGCCTGGCCTTGTCTGACTCCCCAAACTGTCTTTAGATCACAGTCAGTGCACCTAATACTCTCCCTACACTGAACTGGTGGCATCTCATGGGTTTTTTTGCTTTGTTTTTTGTTTTCTTTTGAGTGGGGGTAAAGGTGAGGGGTGATGTGGGTCTTCATAAATTCACAGGCTACCTGTGAGGCAGCAAGGTACAGACTAAAAACATGGCATTAATCCTACTCTGAAGATGATTAACAGCATTTTTCTCTCCGAAGACAAAAGCAGAGCTTTGCTCCAGAACTGTTCCAGATCCCATTTGGAAATTTGCTGGCAAAGTGAATGTTCTGTGTCATTTCAGACAGGTGCACACATCTATGTGGGACTGTGTACAGTGCCAAATGGAGGTGCATGTTGGATTTAGGCACACAATGAATTTTTGGTGTTCAATCTATTGTGAATCATTTAAAGATTTGGGTATCCAACTCCATCCTAAATTCCAGTTATACAAATAGCTGCAGGAAGCTCCAAGTAGGTATGTCTGGCCCAAGGATGGGATTTGAAGATTTGGACACTTATTTCACAAAAGCTTTTTTGAAATGCCTAGTTCCTTATACCAGAAAAGGGAACTGTTCCTACTAAAAACATCTTGAGGAAAAAAGAGAGGCATTCCAGAACTTACAGTTTGCACCCAAAGTTGAACCCCCAGCATTGCTGTGAAGAGAAATGTAGATGCTAACAGGCTAGGAAATGCATCAGACTTCATGCTTAGCTTCCAAATTCTCATGCACAGGTGACCACAATGGCTTTTCTAAAATGAAGCAGGAGTTAAGCTAAGTATGGAGCTGTGAGCCTCCAGGACTTATCAGTGTCAGTCTTCAGTACAATATAGCAGTGTGATCAGTATTGTACAACCTAGAATCCAAACACAGAGTGAAATCCTTCCATGATTATGATAAAGTACAAACTGGAGAGCTTGAGTGCACTCTAACATCCAGCATAGAAATCACATGACTTTTTTATGAGGCCTTCATCGCTCTTTCCAAGGGTAATTACCAAGTTAATGATTCTCAGGAAATCCACTGACCCATGCAAAGTGCCATGGTAAGTATTAGTGTTGCTATTGGAGTAAAGTGTCTCTTGTCTGTATTCCACATCTGAACTCATTTACCACACAAAGCATCTTGTGATTCCATCTCAAACATGCTTGTCTCTCAGGCTGATCTCTCCTTTTGCTGCCATGCTTCATATAGCCTTAAAGAAACAAGGTATATTTTCTGTAGTGAGCAGTGGCTAAATATGCGATTACATCTCAGCTGATGTTGGTACTGAAGTCTAGCAGAATCTCTTAACCTTTTTTTTTTTCAACTTCACTGTCTAAGTGTAAATGCAATTTAAATCCTGCTGGCACCCTTGTCCTCTGAACATCCTTTTGAGCATGTTGTCAGCTGCAATGTGAGCATCATTTTGCAAAGTATAGAAAGAATGGTCAACATCTTGTATTGTGTCTCTGGAAATATACCCTGATCCAAGGCAGGCTGGAGTCTATTAGAAACTTTCAATTTACTCTGGGCTTTGGATGATGCGCATGGAAGCTGAATTGCTTTGTGTTGGACTTGTATTACACACATGGCATTAATTTGGGAAGGATTGTGTTTTGAAATGTGCTTTTGTACAACCTCCTGCAGTTTCCTTAAACAAAATGGAATAACTCTGAGAACTTTGCTTTGGATACTTGTGACAGTCTGATATAAGATAGCACAGACATTAATTGTAGATGGTGTGCAACTAGAATGCTGCGTAAGAGCAACAAACTCATTTCAAACAAACTTTCACTTTAAACGGAAAAATCAGCAGACTCATGAGCTACTATTACTACTACTGTACAATACAGTGCCTTTTCTGTGTATCTCCAAGTGTTTACAGACCTTTATCAACTCCAATTTAGACACAGAATTTGAGAAGGAGAGCTACTTAAGACCTGTATCAGAAGAACAACCCTACTTTGGGCAGCCCTTTGGATATTCCTAAACATCATTGTGCACTTCGAAACTTTAGTCATCAAGACTGGACTTAAGCATGCATTTAGTTACTTTTTGGTGTTGGGGGTCTAAGGGATTTCCCAAAAGGCCATATATCAGGTTAGTATCAGGCTCTGGATTAGACTTCACTTTGTGCTCAATCCATTTTATCAATTACAGTAACTTCATTACACATAAACCAGTTTAAGTGATCAGAAACTGAATTAAACGTGTAACAGAATAGAAGTTCAATACACATAAACCAGTTTCAAACTGGCTGAAACTGGTTTAAAGATAAACCTGGTTGAATGCAGTGTCAGACTTAACTGATTTGGGTCAAACTGGTTTATGAAACTTCTGTCCTGGCTGCAGTTGTGGACTACAAATCACCATGGTCCTCCAGCAGCCCCGCATTTTGCAGCCCTGGGCTGGACAGGCTGTGCTGTCTGCTCTAGAGAGCAGGGCTAGCTGGAGCAGTGAGGGTTGACTGACAAAGGGGGAAGGGAAGCGGGGGGTCAAGCCCAGTCTATAAGGAGGGGAACTGCCCTC